TTTACGAGATTACACCCATTTATACCTGTGACTGCAGCATTTATCAAAGAATGTAATGATATATCTGCGGGCATGTAAAATGACTGAAATATCTTTCATTGGAACGTTGATAGCTGTTTCTTTCAAAAAGATTTATTAAGACAAATTAAACATTTTTTTAAATATTTATATCATTTAGTACACACATTTTCTACTCTTACTTTTGTGCTATTCTAACACTCCTTTAGGTTTTCAATATTATTAATTTTTTAAATATATATTAAAATGTGATTATCGCGTGCGTGTGTATATATTTATATATTTATATACACAGGGTGTCCTGAAATTCGCGAATCAAAATACCATAGCAAGAAAGTCGTCGAAAAAATAAATTAAAAAGTTATTTACCATTTTTCGTTCCGAGCAGTGGTTTTTTTAGATAAAATTAACACTATCGACGCGCGACTCACGGACAGGTTTCCGTTCAACCGTAATGTATGATTGGCCTGTTTTGAACCTTTTTATCTAAAAAAACTACTGCTCGGAACGAAAAATGGTAAATAACTTTTTAATTTATTTTTTCGACGACTTTCTTGCTATGGTATTTTGATTCGCAAATTTCAGGACACCCTATATACATATACAATTTAAAATCATAAAAATATTTTCTCGTTAGCATCGAAATGAGGCGCAACAGATTCTTCAAATTACCTAGTTTGATGAAATCAATGAAGTCATCTGTTTCGAAACGGCAACGTTTTACAAAGTCTGCGTATAATCAAAATTATCGATGGTTTGTTAATGCTAGCCGAATCGGACAAGTATGCTAAAAGCAAAGAAGAAATTAAAAAACACGAAGGTGACTCACAAGGTAATGCACAAAAGTGAACGCGGTTTTATAAGAAGAAGGGCCTTGGCCTCACCAGAAATATTCAGCACGGTAACGAGAGATCATCGCTTCGTTTCTTTCGACCTACGATTGCCTTCATAGATAAAATATTCATTGTAATGTGCGAAAACATGATTTTTATACGGTAGAATATTAGATGCGCAACGAAGATAGCAGTACTCGTTGGTAATTACTCTCCGTAATTTAAAATCTCTAATACAAAAATGTCAGATGTACAAACAAACCGCGTAAGAAAACCTTCTTTGCGATTAAAAAACAATTGTTATTTTACCATCCACGTATTGCAGTGGCTAGTAGTGCGTAATATAAATTACGAACGCTCTAATTGAATGTGCAATTAGTTAAATTTTTTCCTATTTGTATAACAATCATAATTACAGCTTTTTGCCCCTTTCCGTTGACTATAAATTTTTCCTTCCTGTTTTCATTTTATGTAACACTTTCGAAAAAGCATTAAAGTCGTTGAGCGACACAGAAGTTACATCGACATCACCGTTTTGTTCTTCACCGATTTTCTCCAGCAGTCGTTATTTAGCTCAAATATAATTCCGGTGGAACAAACTTCACATATGTGTCGGTCTTTCCGCGTTACGCAAGTTACATCGGCATCGGAAATGCATTCGCATTATATCTCGCACTATATGTGTTGCTCGACAAAACGAAAAAAAGAGAGTATAAACTGCGAGTTTCCATGGAAATAATAACCGTTGTAAATAGGGCGAAATGAAAGAGAAGGTCTGTAATCGAGCCTCGGACTTCCATGAAAGTTGTCATCATTGATCCCTGCTCATAATTCGAATAAATAGTGAATAATAATTGGATTCTATAATAATTCTATAATAATGACTCCAGAATTTACAAATAATTAATTGTAAGTGTACGTTAGATGATGTGTATATATAAAATATATAAATATACATACACAACGTATGTAGCAATAATGCTATTAAATGTCCACTATCCAAGACAAATCATCTTCTTTCGTCATGAGGGAAAAATAATTGCTTTACCTGTCCTTTTTTTTTGCTGTCATTCCAATTTACCGACAGGTAACGGACGGAAACGTCAAGAGAGGAAAATCAATCCGTCGACAAGCACTCTTTCTGGAACAACGGAAAATGGATATGTTGTAAATTGCGACCTAATAAATACATAATTGAAGAGCTAAGTGAGTATAATAATATATGTATGAATTAAATGGAAGGTTAGAAGTATTAAAATTATTTATGAGCTGTGAAAGAAATCTAAAGTGGCGTGGCGTAAGAACAAAGAAACGAATTTCGATTGTACGATAATATTTCACGAATGGTTGAACGCATCTGACACCTCTGCAGTAACGTTTCCGCGATAAGGAACATTTAATTATATATTGTAATTTGCACTTCGGTCTTTTGTAACCAGAGAAAACTCGGATGCACGCAACATAAATAATTGGAATGTATCGCTTTCGATTTTGCGGAAACTTTTAGTTTCGAATTTCAAGTTTTCCTATGAAATACGGTAGTACTTTGGGTAATACTGTTAGATGCGTCATTACGAAATACGCTAGATGTTATCCGATTAATTACGACTCATTTGAAGGATATAATTAGGATGCGGTTTCAAATGAAATAAAACACTTGCAGATTTTAAGTCAAGATAGCTGGGTCTTAATTTTAGAGAAATCAACGTGTGAAACATCCGAAATTAACACATGAAGTAGATATATCATAATCATTTAAGAATACCTAATTGAGTTCTCTTGTTACATTTTGGCTCTTTCTAGGAATACATAATTTTATGATTTATTAAACTGACAATAAGGCGAAAGTAGTTATAATAGTGCAGTTTCGAATATGCATATGTATACAAAAGACACACGTTGCATGTACATTGCCAATTTGTTATTATATTACAACACTGATACGCAAAAGATTTATTACATGCCGGAAGATCGCACTCTTTTTAATTTGCTAGTTTAATTTTGCAGCAATATGAACGTTATATATACTATTATATATTCGATGTAAAGTATCGTAATATGAAGCTTTCGTTTAGAAATATTAAATTCTTCACTTCAAAACATCGTCATTTCTATGTTTCATCGATTACCTAGTCGTCTTATGATTTTCTCATTACGTCTGTTTTATTCTTCCAAATTTTATAAAAAGTTCGATAGAGTAGCGCCAATTCAGATAATGCAACAACAAAAATCTGTTGTACTCTTATTAAATTCTGTCTTAAATAAAAAATATTAAAATGTTAATATTTAGCCAATGTAGCACTATATAATAAACAGGAACAATGTGAAGCAGAGATATCCTCCTTGCTAAACGAAGTGCATCGAAAGTGCGCTCGCACTTCTGTAATCCAAATTGACGTGTCTTCCATTTCCAAACAAGCTTGTTTGCAAAAAATTAAGTAAGAAAAGTTTCACGTTTGTTAAACAGAGCAGGATGATAGACGCAATGGTCAAATACGATTTCTATTATTGATTTCTATCTATTATTTGTAAAGTTAATGGGAGAAAATGTGAAGGAAATAAGGTCATAAGAATATAAGATTAAGTTAGACCGATAACTAGCTTTTTACAATTTTGTAATTGTACGTATTATATATCCATTGGATATGTAATATATGAAATACGTAATTCTAATTATCCGTCTGTTCAATATCAACGATATCTAGTCGGAAGGATTGTAATTTATTGCGAGCAAATAAAACCTAGATGTCAATAAGTAAAACAACAAAATCATTAATATGCAAAATTGTTAAATAAATGTTTCAAGGCAATTCGTGATATTCTATAATTATAGATATATCTTTACCGATGATATTCCGATAAGTATTAAGAAGTAGAATCTCAAGTATAAATTTGCAGCATAACAAACATAATTGCTCTTTTCCTATCAAAAAGGGTTATCTGTCTCATTAAGATGCGTGCAGAAATATGTGCAATGTTCGCTACTTCCTATTGTTCATACTTTATAATAACACAAACCTCGTTATAACGAGATAATATATTACGAACATTAAAAACACTCGCTTCAATCCTAAATTATAAAACGTGAGAAAAAAAGACGACGCGTAGCGTCATTGCAACATTTGCCGTTACATAGGTAGATTCGCTTGAAAAATATTTGTATGACCTGGTAGGATGTTCCATGACCCAGGTGCCTTTTATCCGCGGCGCGCCATAATTATCTATCGCGACATCCTTTCGTACTAATCGACGGGGCTTTACATCTAATAGTCTGTATCATCAGAAAAAGAATAAAGTTTCACTGCTGTGATGCGTGCCGGCTTTGTAATGCGAGTAAAAGTGATTATTAGCAACGCATGGATGAACATGATAAATAATAATGGCATGACGTTAATTTAGAAGTATTTTTGTAATTGTCTGTGACAAGCTCCGTAGTTACGAGCCGAACAGCACATGGATACGTCATATCGCTGTGCATTGAAACTGTGCTTTCAATAAATATTCCCATGCACACTTCAGATCGAGTCCTATTTCGTAATTATGTATCTATTCATCAATTACTCAATTACTCAAGATTTCATTTACACTTCAATCTTATGTCATGTCTTATGATGTTATATATTATTTATCTACATCTATGACATGTATATCTCTCATACTTCAAGTAACTAATTATCGATTTTATCGATATCATTAAAGAGCTCCTGCTAATGGAGAGAAAAGATTTACATTGTTGTAAATGAGAAATCGGATAAGGGAAACCTTGCTGTTTAATTGTTCGCGCGTGCATTATTTGAACAGAGATCTCGAGAGATAATAGATATGGCGCGTTTGAAAATAACCAAAATGTTATGATAAGTATTATTTTTATCTTTAGAAGAGAGAACATTCGTAAATTCAAAACTTTGCTAGACTGAGCAGCAAGAATTTAAATTACATTGTTACATTCGAAAGCCTGTTACACACGGATGCATCTCCTGACGGTCATTTTCGAGGTATCTACGTTTCGGCGATCAAAATGAAATTTATCGATGTGGTCGATCCCTTCTTCAGGATCTCCCATGCGGACCTAACAGAAGGAGAGAACGAGAGGCAGACGTGGACATAAGTGTAGCGTGGAGGTGGTGCCAGGCCCCTCCTTCTAATAAAAGCCGCTCACTAAGCGCTGCTACACAGACAGTAACAGTAAACCCCGAAGAGAGCAGGAGCCGCCGAGAGCTCCTTCAGGGCCTCTGCAACATCTTTTTTTTTTTTAATTCGATTTTCACGGCACACCGTGTGACGGATAATATCTGTGCGTGGTGAGTTTACCCAAATCTCGCGTTTCTAATTCGACCAGCGGCTTTTCCGGGCCGCTGTGTACTCATCTTCAGTGTCTCGTGGGGAATTTGCTGAACGCGACGACCACGTGGCGAGGTGGTGATAAGTGGGAAACTTTTGAGTTTCATGTGTGTTCTTGGAAACGAGTGCAGAACTCGGCAAACACTTCTATCGCTTAACAGAATTAAATATATTGAAATAAGAGAGAACTATATAATTATTAATAAAGTGAAGAAATTGCAAATTTACTTATTGTTATCCGCGGAAAATTAGCATGACATATTTTGGCATAATATAATACAAGTTTCAATCTAATGAAAGTGCGTGAATCACGATTTTCCGGAGAAATCTGTTTCCATCTGGACGCACAGTTTCCTTAGCAATTACTTATCTGATGGAAACTCGAGTCGTTTTCCGTACAAATAAATAGTTCGTAAAAACACAATTACAAACATATTACTTGTCTTTATGAGATTAATTAATACAGACTTGGAGGCAAGAATGGAGAGAGTAAAGAGGCATGGAAAGAAGTTGTCGGAGTGAAAATCTTGAAATGGACTGGAACAAGTTTCAAATAAAAATTGAAACTTACGACAATCATAGCACGAATTCGATTCGTCCATGCTTGAAGAATCAGATTTTTCCTTCCACAAGAAATCCCTCGTAAAAATTCTCTTCATGTCCAGTTTGATTGCCAACTAATTTGCTTTATTTTTATAGCGTACGGAAAATTAAGAATGAAACTTTTCTTCATCAATTTATCGCCGTAATCTTGACGTTCCTTTTTATTCTAAGACGAGTAATCGTCTTCTGAAACGTAATTCACGTATAAAAAAATTCTAGAGTATCATTATTTTTTGAGTCAAGAATGGAAAAAGATTTCTAACTCATGCACTATGATATCATAATCGTATTGTAAGTTCTTCCACGCAATGAAGATAATATACAGGGAACGGAGATACCAATTAAAACTAATTAACATGTGGCCTCGAAAATAGAATATTGCAGCATTGTCCTCGGCTAGAAGTGATGTGCGCTGAATCTATATCGTCTTAATGCCATTATATCGCCATGATCCATCTTCAGCGTGCCAAATGCACGTGTAGTTATTTGCACATACATTGGCGTACATTGCGCGAACTTCAAAATTACGCGTGCACCAACAACGTTTCTCCGTAAAGGCGAACGTCTCCGATCCGTCATTTTGCGTTCAATCTCAACAAAATTACATTGCTAAAGCCACTTCTTTCGGACGAGGTAATCTAAAAGCAATTTAACACGTTTGTCGCTTCCTTCTCTTCCGTTTGCCAAGTACTTCCACGTATTCTTAATCGATTTTTGTCTATTCCGGTCAGCGTTTCTAAAGATTTACGTCACGAAATGAGCAACGATTTTATCCGACCGCCAGGAGCCAAACAAGTTTCACGGGACTCTAAAGAGGAAACACGTGAATTAATAAACACGATCCTAAATGCGGACGTAAAACGCGGCGGCACGAGTGTGTTTTATTAAAATCGCAACTAATTAAGGATCTCGCGCGCACGTTATCTCGCCTTTCCTCCCGCGCCTCGGAAGACGCCAACAGCGTTCTCCACTTTCATTCCGTCGAAAGTGATAGTCGCGAACGGATCCATGTTCGAGAAAGGAGAGTCATTGCGCCTCTCCCTCTCGCTCTTCTCACCGTGCGCCTTCTCGTTTCCTCCGTCTTGTCGTGATCCTTGCGAACGATTTCCGCTTTACCTTGCAACCTGTCTTTGCGTCTCTATGTGGAGGGGAAGAGGCGGGGGAGGAGGGGGGGGGGGGCAAAGAGAAAGAGAGAAAGAGACTGAATAGCATCTGAAAATATCATGAGAGAAGTGGAATTACGACCCGTGAAAAATCCTCCACTTTCATCGCGCCCGCATTGTGTCCGGATATTTATTTTCATGTCGCGCGCGTGCTTGAAAGAAACGGCACTTCTGAAATAATCTGGGGAACCTTGTATGAGATATACGCGCGCGGCACAAGAGATCGTTCCCGAGAAATCTGCACCGCCGCGAGAGTGCACGGATCGCGATAAGAATCTGCAGAATGCAAAATGTGAGGAGTCAATCGTGAAGGATACGCGTTAACGCGCATCAATTTGCTACCGCGATCGCGAACGCCGTAATTAATGTAACATAATTGTCTTTACAGAATCCGCATCTGCACGAGTCAAGATGAGGTTTACCATTCTAACGCTGACGACTGTGCTTTGCCTCACGTTAGTGAGCTCGCATCCGCTTCCGGAAGACGGACTCCGATCAGAGGTAAGCACGTGAGCGGCGCATCTCGTGCCTTTCTCTTTTAACATCGCCATCTATTTTGCGGAGATTAATTCGCGGCGTTAACGGCTACTTCTCCCATGCATTATCGCTTAATTATCTAACACGAACGGCACGTGGCACGCAACTAACAGAATTCGAGGCCGAATATCAAGCGACACGTAGCGCGGGATTTTTGCTGTCTATCCTGCAATTAGCAAGTACGCGCCGATCGATACCTGCATGGAACCACGCATGACGATTATAACGATGTTCACTATTATTACTCATTGGCAATCTCTGCATTTTCCATTAATCTTTTCCACTGATCTCTACTCCTTCGCCTGGCTCTTATCTTCAGTTCTTTCCCGTACCGATTAAGGAGAAAGTCTGATTTGCAGAAAATATGTCGCAGAGAATTTCTCTGTATCGAGGCATACAAATTACGCGCGGTTATTAATCATTAGGTATGGGTGATAAAGTGCGAGGTGATTCCTCATCGACCGCGAAAGTTCAACCCACGTTCCGATCACTGCGAACGTTAAATGCTCAATCGTTCCACCGAATCGATCGATTCGACGGCGAAGATGATATATTTTGTACTTTCGACGAGTCTTTCACTCGAACAACGCCACGGACGAGACCAGTAGTAGCGCGAACAAAACGACGTGAAAACAATCGCGATTCGCACTTTGTGGCTATGCATCGCGCCTGCGGTCTGCGGAGAACCGCAAATAAGAATTGGTTTATCTAACAACATGCAATTCGGGGACTTTTCGGGGACTTTTTCCTCATTGTTCTCGCCAGTAAATGCGTTTTGCGACAACGCCGGAGTTCGCGGAGCTAATAAAATTTACATAAGACGGTACTTCCATATCGAGATCATGCTGTAATGGAAATCTTTTTGCGTTCGAAATATTATCCGTAACACGTCGCCGGAAGCAATGACATGCGCGTTTCTTTGAAAAGCATGCCATTGTACGCTGTTACGTGATGATACGACCACTGGAATGGTCGCTCTTACCCGAAGAGGTCACCTTTCTTTCGTAGCCACTCAAATTTAGCGTTTACAGTTACTCATTTATAATTACCATGGTTTACATAACGCCGCTACAATTTAAGACCACGCAATGCGCCGGGCACGTGCGTAAGCACGGCGGAAGAGTTGGCCACTAGCTGGACGGTTACATGGCGCAATAAGAGTGCAAAGGGAGTTATTCGTATGGAAAAGCGTTATCGCGCGTAATGTCCGGGGTACGAGCGCCGTCGTGAGGAATTCGATGTTTCGGTTGTGCGGCCGTAAAGGAGACAGTGTAACCCTCAAAGTATACGGTCCGACGAAAAGCCGGGTCGTCCGACCGGCTCTCGTCCTCGCTCCGACACTTTCACTGGCCGCGAACACCGGCGCGGCGGAGTTACCGGACACTTTCTTCGGTCGATAGGCGCCCGATGGGAAAGCTGGTGCGTACGCGCAAGTGCGATCTAACAACACGGTGTGATATGCGAAACATTGTGTACAAACAAATCGCTGGCCCGATCCGTATTTTCGACTCAGAGTCGACGGACACGAGATAAGGAGACGTGGGAGATATCGTGGGCGATAATAGGGATAAGTAGATAGTTAGACGAACACGAAGAGCGGTCTGTTTCAATTTTGTGGGAAATTTATTAGGACTCGGAAGCAAGGATAAGTCGTGGAATTATTGAAAATCATTGTTTAACTCGGGATTTATCATCTAGCGAGTTTGGTTGCTCGCACTAGTGCACACTCAGTGCACACTAAGGCTCGTTTGCAGTCAATTCTTATATTTAAGGATCATTGGAAGTACCTCTTGAAAGACTTTTCAGCCAGTGAAATGATCCGTACAGCATCTGTACAAATCACTTTTGGGCTAAATACTCTTTGAACGTGTATTTAAGACAAAGTTAAATATAAGAATTGACTATAAACAAGTCTTAGTGTGCACTCAGTGCAAGCAACCGAGTTTGCTGATAAATGTTATACTATAAATATATGGACAATAAGTGTTATGTAAATGAATTAAAAAAATGGAAAGGCGTCAAAGAACGTAATGTGAGAAAACACGAATGATATTATATAGAAAGTGATGTGTTAATTTTTCGCCGTCTCTTCCCAAGATTATATTTGCAAGCATACGGAAACAAATTTACAAGCGAAATTTCTTGGCCAAAGTCGAGACGGATGAATACGACGGCGATCGCATGAATGTGAAACGAGGTTTAAGGGAAAGTGTACCATAATACTGCGGTTGAGCAACATTTGGGTTCGGTGGCCGTCCATTGGCCAATCTAGCTCCATTCGCGAAATTTAATGAGAAACTGATACGTATAATAAAACCCACACTGATGAAATCTAAAGGACGTTATCACGACACAGGTTGTCCTTCAAGGAAACAGATGTAGCCGAATGACGATCGTTTCGTAACTTGTGCTGAATTAACTACAGATAAATTTCAGAATTTCCCAATTTTAATGTATTCACGTAAGCAGTTTGTTTTATAAATAAATGGTTGGAAATATACTTGCTGCGTGAGATAATCAATTTTGACGATAATAGCCGTTATTAATACTAGTAATGTATAATGCATTAAATTTTAATCGCGATACACATAAATCGACGTTTACGAGGATTCGTTATTGTGTCCTCGTGAAGGAAGCAGTAAAGTGGCCGACAGGTCGGTTCCCGTGGCGCTAAGTTAATGATCCTTGCTTGGTTACTATCTAACACGAACAACATTACACAACACAATTACCTTAACATTCTCAAATGCACTAAATTCCATGGCCTTTACCGTACATTTTCAGCTCGAGCGGGAAGATTGCGCGTCACGGTGCTTCCTTATTGGAAGTTACCTACTTCGCGACATTTTAATACCACTTTGACGAAAACCATGCACACAGATAATTTTAACAAAAACGGCAGAAGGACTCCTTGGCAATTTTTTTCTTCTTCATCATTATCGTAAATAAAATTGTTGTCTAACGCTTCGCGAGACACGTACTCCAATGCCCTGTAGGTTGAAAGATCCCAGTTCATACGCATTTAAAAGCTGTTGCGTAACTGTAGAAGTCTGCGACCGCTTACGTTGAGTAGATAGACATTTTCTCGCGTAGCAAAACACCGGCTTATTAATCCACAAACGTGTAGCCACAGAGATTTGAGATCTGCCGATCGAATCCTGATAACTTGCTTGACATGTTGCGATCGCCGGCTGAGAAGTATCGTCGCCGCTGTCATAAAGATCGAAACTTGAAATTGCTGTCGTACGGCAGGGCCAACAAGAAAACTTTCTTTCAGGCCCTTGATCGGCTGGTGATGGCCGAGGCCGACAGCGAGGCCGCCCTGAGGAGCAAAAGGACAATCGGCATTCTACGACAGCTATTCCCCGATATTTCCCAGGTGAGCAGTCGTGATACGTGAATGTCAGAGAAATCCTGCAGAAGGCCAGGACTGGACTGACACGCCGAGCGGCGATTTATAAGCGAGGCTGTACATAAATTATCATCGCAGATTATATACCTCGCTCGACAAAACACTATCAAGGAGCAGTATGACGTCCTTGAGCGATTCGCATCGGGCTGAAATCCACTTTTGACACTAGCCGACTTTGCTTTCGCCGAACTTTGTAGATCTGTGCAAAAACGCAGTATTCGCTCAACACCTCAGCCTTACATTCTTACCGAGAAAGTAACGCATACGATTTGAGAGGCAGCCAACACGCTTTAGACAACCTACCCTTTGCTCATTCACTTCGTACGCTCACGTATGGATCGATTTGTATCGATTCTCATTCTACGGGTTTATTCCGCACGAAGAGAGCGGAAGCGATTCGTTATGTTCGCGTTTGCAAAAAGAATAATCGCGCTTCCGTCGACCCGTTAGCTATATAATATATGAGATTTCTCGAGATCTCTTTTTCCCCCCTTTTTTTCTGAATCCCTGCACGATCTCGTGTCAGTTATACAATGAGAATTTCCACGAGGTCTCCGCAATGTTATTGAGGGGAGTTTCATTACGGTTCGAACAAAAAGTTGCGCACTGCGCCAAGTAATCGTTCGTCGGCAGAGAGGCGCCTACTTGTAAAGACTAAACATTCTCGGGAAAGTTCCTTTCTTGCGTGTGAATTCCTCCTGGCCGCGCCGCCTATTGAATTGTTCGCGAATAACTTCCTAATTTGACTAATAATGCACTGTGCGATTTTTTTGTCTCGTTAGGAAATGGCTTCCTCGGCGTCGGGCAGCGACGCCGGCCTCTCTTGCATGCGGTCGCATGTGCGTGCATATGCACGACAATGACGATTGATTTAGTAACGAACCTTGCAGAATAGCGTTGAGTTAGTTATCCCGCACATTGCCGCGTGTAGTTGCGGTTTGACGGAAAATCGTTCGCGCAGGAATGTCGAAATTTCTCCCGGTGTAGCGCACTCGGGTCGACTGGACGAGTGCATGGTAATTGACTACGATCGCACGAAACGACGCAGTGGATCCTCTCGGGGTTACGGAATAGCTGCATTTCAGGACTCGCGTTTAACTCTGCCTTTGCATTTAAAGTTGGGTCGTAAAAGTCTCACGGGAGTACCTGCTGCATTGAGCATCGAGTATTATGTAAGAGCGATGAACCTGATATTCTATGACTAACACCTTTGAAAGAAAGCCCGGTAATAAGAGATAATATGATAAAGAATAATATATCAATCATACTTAAGCACAGCATCGATCAATCGCACGAACACTCATTATTAGACGGACGATTGATCGGATATTCGAAAATGGTCCTTCGGCAGGCCCCGGAAACAACGTAAGTCTACATCATTCATAGATAAAGAGTATCAGCTATCACTGCCATGGGTCGATCGATATCATACCATCACGGCCACAAAGCAAAGCGATGTCTTGAAGCCGAGTAAAAAAAAAGGAGGATCGAGCTATCGCCACGCGCGCTACAAGGCTCTCCAGCTAAGACCTGTTGTTTTCTAGAGAATCGAAGCAAAGGTCAACTCTATTATCGCGGAAGTCATTCGCGTCCTTGGCCCGGTCGTCCTCCGTAATGTTCTTGGCGGCGGGGGCGGCGGCAATACCACAGGTGTCGAGAGGAGCAACGACGGCACAAGTGTAGAAGGCAAGTCGCCCTTCGATGATGACGATGAGGATGGGTCAACCGCCTCGAACTCCAGAGTGTCGCTCTCTTTGCCGACGTTTCCGCCTGACGAGGAGGAAGCGTCCAGCTCCTCTTCGTCCACTTCTTCCACCCCGTCATCCTCGATAACGACGGTAGAGAGCAGTGGCAACCTTATCTCTTCGAGCACTACAGCAACGCCAACAACAACAACAACAACGACGCCGTCACCCTCAGAAAACGAGGTCACCACTACGCTGTGACCATTTGACCAGCAGCTCGGTAAAACTTTCGAGGTCATGACCTTGAGGAATCCTCACAAGGAATGCAGAATGTCTTGCGGAACGCCTTCACCGCGCATTCAGGACTGCCGCGGCACGCGTTGTCTACTTTGTGTGCTAATTACTCACTGGGTACTCGAGAAAACGAGGATCGAATCGATCGACTACTCCAGATCTCGAAGGATCTAATGACCGCTAAGTCACCGCGCAACCAGGACTGTGGCGGTTGCGCACGTTTCGTACATTGCTAACTGTTTTTACGTACTCGTGTCTGCTATTTACATATCTAGCCATTAATCGATTAATAATTGTATTGGCAACTTATGCCACCATGGTTCATTTGTTACGATCTTACTCGACTAGAGCTACAGAGTACACCGGAATATTTTATTCTACTGGTTTTGGGATTTTTTCCGTTTTGTTGATTTAATTATCCGTTCGTGTTTCTCGTTTGCAATTCATGCTATATACGTGTTCATATGTGTATATGTATGGACAGAATCATTCAAACCTCTTACTTCTTCGTCACCTCACTCCGACATAAATTCAAAATCAGACTTTCTTATCGTCTCGCACATTTCTTCCCTTATGCCGAAACCATTTCAAATGCCAGATCATGTTTTCATTGTGACTTTCGAGTTTTGAAGTTCATCTTAAAACAATCTTCTTCGCTCTTTCGTTCCATCATCTCTATTTTCAGTATGCTAATTACTTTTTGTCATTAATTGATGCAGGATCAACCAGTCTAGCACGCTAATAATCTTGAAAGATACTTTGTTCATTATATCTTGTTTCTTATGTAACGCCTGCAGAATTATTGCAGAGATATAGAGACTCGCATAGCATTTGATAATTAGTAGCAACCAATGATTCAACACCCAGCCTTTTCCGATGAATCATAATATCCGAAATAGTATAATCCAACATAATAAATCTAATATGCGCTTGTTAAGAAAACGTACAACTTGTTATTAATGCTATCTTTATCGCTTGTTGACTATGCATGTTACTTGTTTTGACGCTCTTGCGTACAATTATAATCTATATAGCTGCTCTAAAAGATTTTAAACCCGTAAATAATACGTTATATCAATAATACTTGCTTTAGTTCTGGTGCACGAAAAAACTCGTTCGAAAAGTAAATAAATTTATGCAACGGAAGTCATAAATGTCATGAATAATTTATAGGAAAAACATTGCTGGAATATTACGTGGACCCAACTATACTTTACAGACCCTGAAATTATGCAGGTGACCTACTTGCGATTTTTTTTGTGCACTTCTTCTCGCTGAGAGAATCAACAATGATCGATTGATTGATAATCATTAACAATCTGTGTCACAGTATACTTATCTAATGAATGTTGCTTGCACGAACTGCACGTGATAAATGATAAAACGAATGAATTGCTCTTTATTCGTTCCGGCAAGAAGCTCGCGATTTATCACGGCCGATCCTCGTTAGCCATGAAAAACATTTTTTTTTTTACAGGACGTGAACCCGGAATCGGAGAATCGAGTGAACGAGATCGGTTCGGAATCGCAGAACAGCGAGGTGCGAGTGCAATTCGCGGACGAAGTGCCGAGCGACAGCTCGCCGCAGGAGTTGACGCCGCTGGATGAGACCGAAACGACGGAGGAGGACGAGAACAGGAACAAGAGATTCCTCTTTGGTTTCGGCGGCGGTAACGGCGGTGCCGGGTCCGGCAACTTCCTCTTCGACATTATCAGGGTGAGTCGCGGTGTCGATTCTAGATACGCTACTCTTTGGTAACGCCGCGTGAAAAATGGAGATCGGGATTGCACCCAAGAAAAGACGAGGAAGACTCGCGGTAATCGTCGACGGCGCGCCGCGATCAATCTCGGGTACACTTGATATTCCAGTAACGGGCGAGTTAACCGCAAGGTCTGCACCTAGCTGTAGACGGCGGTGAAAGTGAGGCAACCGAATTGCCTTTAGCTGCTACCATCTGGTTACTATTCCAAGGTTCCTGACCTAGGCACGCTCGAGCCTCGCGATAGAACTATTAGTCAAGATTCTCGTCGGTACCACGAAGCCGGTGTCCTTGATTAAAGTCCACGCGGATTCGCGATTTCACATGTACGCACGACAGAGGAAAGCCGCGGCTAGTTAAAGCAAAAATTGGCGATAACAGAAGATAGGTCGGGTGGCAACTTCATCACGATGCTTCTTAATGCCTGATCTAGAATGTATATTTTATAAAAGCAAATCGACACGCTTAAAAAATCCGTCGATATTATACGATTGTAGAATATGTATGATTTATCAACTTGCACAAATTTTTTAAACGTATTTTTTTTTGCTACAAGATAGAATGTTTTCGGGTGCAAAGAGCACGTTGTAGATTAGACTTTAATCATGCTTCAACGTTTCGGATGTTTTTCGTTATTTAAGAAAAGTTAAAATTGGTAATTAAGGGCGGATCAATAAGTGTTCAATAATTACAGTGTGTCTGATCAGTGCTTAGTGTTTCAAAAGTTAGCACCCGCGCCAACGATTAAAGAAGGTCCGCGAGATGTCGCATGACATTGCTAGATCACGTAGCGTATAGTATTTTCTCGAGAGCGCTCTCTGGCCAGGAGAACGATACTTATATATGATTTGTGAGGAGCCGATAAGAGACGTCGTGGGGTGGAGAAATGAAACTATAACCTAACCTTATTTTAAACCGGGTGCTCTCGCTGGTACCAAACAGAGAGTTTATTTACTGCGGCGTCTTTAATTTTTACGTTAAATCTTGTTATTCGTGACCTCATTAAAGAAATACTTTACTGAAATGAGCACTGCCGATGGAAACGCGTGTTTCTTTTTTGTTGCAATCTTAGTAAAATAAGCTGTTTGGTATACTGAAAAAAATTAAAATTTTTTAATTATATAATTTTATAAATCAAACAAACCAGAGCACTTAGGTCCGAGCAAGATGTTGGTAGCCCAAAACCGGCGTGCAGGACAAGGTGGAAAATGACATGTAAATTATCTGCAATTTTTTTTACAACTTGACTACTAGACCGATTCACATTACACTGAAACTCTTAGATGCAATCCTCAATAATTGCGACGCAATCATGGCTGGCAGACCTATACATTTTAGGTTACAATTATTGAGCTATATCTTGCTCGGATCTAAAGGCGCTCTCGTTTGCTTAATTTATATCGTAAGGGTCCTGTTTAATTCTATTTCTATATAATTTTTGCAATTTTATGTCACTTTTAGTGAAATGTGTTATTTAAGAAACATTCGTTGCGTGATAATTTGTTGTATTAACAAGTCTAACTGGCGTACGTGCAGATATAAGTCATTTTGCGTCGCATGCACATTTCTCGAGGTAAATCGGCTGTGCGTGTTGCGTTGTTGCGTGGAGGCGCGTGAACAATAACGGTGTCGCAGACCAACGACACTCGCGACCGGTATTTTTTTGCCGCGTCTATATTGGCGAAACGGGTTTTTCACCGACGGGACAGATGCAATCACGCGAAAATCGAGTCACCGTTTCCAATGGCCGCTGTCACCGTTATCCACTTTCCTGGCAAAAAGACGTTATTACGAGCGGCTCGAAGCGATTCCAGACCGGTCGGCCGCGCCGCGACCCTTCACCGTTCGCCGATTGAGAAAACGAGAAACTCGCTACGTGACGGACACTCCATTTGTTCCTGGCGCGGATATTCGCCCGTTAATAGGCGACGAATTATGCGATACCTTGGCCCCTTAGTTGAATTATAATAAGAAATTAAACCTCACGTGATTTCACTCGAGAGTCGCAGCGAAATTGTGAAATAGAATTTATATTCGCCACTTAATGGACACGTTTTAATTACGACACTGTGAAACCAGTCGGAAATATTTTAACGATCGTGAGTAAAATTGGATGTTAATAAAATTAGTGACATCTGGGATATAAAAAGAGACGGCTCTTTAAAGGTATCAGTAGCAATTTTTCCAATGACATTTTAGACTGCGAACACCGCGATCGGTCAACAGCAGATGGCTTTCAACGATTGCGTGCATATTTATACGAGCAAAGTTCACACACGAAGAAATGATACGCAATAGCGCTAACAACATCGACTTGATATGTAACCGGCTTTCCTTCGCGGAATCTCCGCTCGCAGAGACTCGTATCGTTAGGCAACTGATTCCTCTCCATTTTTCACAACGGCGAGACGAACCGACTGCGTCTAAAAATGACATCGGCGGATTCGGCGGTGAATCCCCGAGCGACCGCTGTACCCCCCGAGGCCTCTTCCCGAGGGCCCCACCTCGTCGCGATTTCACGAGGAGCTTTTTAACGAACCACTTTCCAGCCATCATTGCAGGACGTTCCAGGATCGCGCGGAGAGTTCCGCAGGGAGAGATAGCGAATCTCTCGCGCGATGCCGCCACGTCGGCGGACGGGGAAATGAGCGAGAGAAACGCGATTCCTCCAGCGGGCAGGGGCAGAGAAACGCCAAGTAAACGAAACGTTCTCGTCTCTGTTCTCGTTTAGCAAGCGGCCGACGGGGCGGCAAGAGCGGCGGGCACGGTGTACCGTGTCGTGGCCGGTACACAGAGCCTCGGGCTCGGGCTAAGCGCCTCGCGCGACGTGGGCCCGGCCGCCCCAGCTGCCGCCAACCCCGCCGGCGGTACTGCCACCCCGACGTCCGGCGCACCCTCGACCGCCGCCCCAGGAGCCGGCATTCTACCACCGGTACGCCAAATCCTTCCGACACGCCTAAGTGTCCGCCGACAGAGATACGGCGACTGCGCTTCTTCGATCGGGCCCGATAACACCGGATGAGCTCGCACCGGACGACATTCTTTCGGCGAGTCCCGATCGTTCGGCTCGATCTTGGTAACGCGTCGAACGATCTGCATTTGCTCCGAAAGAGTCGAGGAAAACGAGCGGGCGTCGAGTGGGCGCGTTATACGTTCGCCGCTCCGCGCGAGAAGACGTGACGTATAACGTGCCGTGAACTCACGAGCGTTTTCTTTCGTTTGTCAATGTGAGACAGTCGACGATTGGTGCTGCACGTCTATAGTACCAATCGAATTTATCGGGCTCGCTCATTAACTCTTTCATTCTTTCTCTTTCTGTATCTATCTCATTTTACTAATTACGCACTGTACATGATTTACTCTTTCTTCTCCCCCCTCCCATCTCTCTCTCTCTCTCTCTCTCTCTCTCTCTCTCTCTCTCTCTCTCTCTCTCTCTCTCTCTCTCTCTACTTTTACATTTCTTTCATTTCATCATTTTCAGCATGTCGTACTTTTTCCTATCGCATGAAGAATCGATATTCATCCCCGGTTTTATTCATCACTCAAAGATATATGCGTCTTTCAAGTCCTAATCTTCTTTAAAAAAAAAAGGAGTACCTTTTCATCGCCATTACTATATACATTAATTTTCACAACGTCTCACGCAATACGTGCAAAAGTAGTACAAAGTGCACTCTTCGTATACAGCCTGCAATATTTCATTGTCTTGGGCTGCGGTCAAGCTGTCGCTTCGAATGTTACAAAGTATTCTTCTTCTCTTTTCTTTCGGTAAAGACAGAAAGAGAGGAGAAGCGCTTCGAAGCGTTTATAGCGGCAGCTTGACCGCGGCCTTAATCGTTCTATTATCTGCAACCATTCCTTCGCGCGCAACTCTTCTCTAATCGCGAAATCTCGCTCGCATTGCAACGCACCTTATCTTTATCTTGCATGCCTCACTTTTTCACGTATACTGTCGTACACGCATCACTCTTGACTTGGTTGCGCGACTTGGTTGACGTTCCTTAAATCTTCCGACTCACTTTCTATCAGTGACTTAATCCCTCGCGACGACTTACTCTGAACAGGCTACCGACACTCTTCCTGTCTAGCATTTTTCTCTCTTCTTCCTCATACACCGTTTCTCCTTCCTTTATACAAAGCATCTTACCTGATCTTGCCTGTCTCGCTGCGCATGAATTGCATATCAAGATCTCTAATATACCTGTTGTATATGCGTACGTGTACATGTTTGAAAGTAATGCAACAAGTTCTCTAATCTGCCCTCTGTACAAAACTGTCTTCTTCATTCGCCACGACTTCTTTTGTATTTACACACGTCTTTTTACACGTCTAATGTTGCAACGAGGTCTTGCCATGTGATCTGTACAAATTGCGCATCCTTAACTCCTAACTAGATGTTACTCTACAAATTCCTACGCAAATATAAGAGTTGAAGTACAACCGGTTGACTAAAACGGGTAATACATTTGCACACTATTCGGCTCGCATTACAAAAAATATGGCTAATACAGTCATTATCTACGGCATACGAAATGCGTATGAACGAAACGTTTGGACATATCTTATCTTTCGGCATCTCGGTTTCGTTAAAAAAATAATTTGCGCTCAGCGATGTTTAAAAGATTTCGTAATTAGGAACGTAATGATTGGTAAAGCCTTAATTGCCCAATTCAATTGTCTTCTTCAACTCTGGAATATCTACCGGGTAATTTATGCCCGTTCATCTCGTTCCAAATCCCATCTTGTTCCACCCGGCCAACGGTCCCGACGCAACGCTGACAACCACCGACTAAACGTAAGAGACTTTTTTTTTTATATGGCGTACTGACCGGCTTATGGACAAGGCCGATTCACTCGGGATCTGGCGGCCGCCATTGATCAGTGCCGATTCTCTCGTTGTTGTGATCTTCGTACTCGTCCACTGCACCGTATATATATCTAGGCCCGTAGTTGTATCTTTTCTTCCATCGTATTTTGGACGCACTGGAGTAAAACGCACGCAGTTCAGCCGGCAGACGAATCGGTTGCGAGAGATAACATTCGCGCAGGTCCTTCGAACGAAGAGCGAATAATGTTTAACGAGAAACGAAAATACCCCGGCTCGCGACGGAACCGGTTTGTCCGCCAGGCGGCGATCTGCATCTCGTAGATATTGTAAATTTGGTAATTGGTCCACGAGACGTGTACAAGCTCGATGCGCTCGTAACTGGAGAATTCGCCCGAACATCAAATTCGATATTACGTTGTGCTGCGAATCGCTAGATACGGGACGTATCATCGAGTACCGATCGTAGCGTACGATTTGTCCTGTTGTCCACCATTGGGAACTTGGCGATTTCACCTTTTCATGGTGCACGCGCAGGGTGTCCATATGGAAATCCTTAGCCGGATGTCGATTCACGATCGCACCGCGGAATCGCCCCTCGCTCAAGAGTTGTAAACCTTAATTCTCAAGCTGGGTCGGGGAAAGATAAAAGAAAGACGTATGGACACCCTGCAAGGCAAACCTCGAGTATTACGAGCCGAAGGAGCGCACGTAAGGATCGTAGCAGCAAGATCGATGGATCGTATATGTCGTAGCCGCAAGTAGGAATAAGGATGTGAGAGCACCGTAGTGTCGGGAGCGCTGGAGTTGGACGTGGAGCTGCGATACACACCGCAATTTTATATCCCCAACAAACAAACAAACAAAGTATTGTAATTAATTCCTGTATATTAATTAATTGTACTTCGGCCGCCGCCGCGCCTCGCGGACTCCATCCGAGCGCGAGAGGCCGGCGGGGCTGCCCTCCGCATGCCCGCCGACTAACGCCGACGGATCTCTGTAATCTTTCCAGCTGGTGGCCGGAAGCGGAAGCAACCAGCTGGGCAACTCTTCGGGCAGCCCCGAGCACGGTAAGGCGGACGAGCAGGAGGCCGTTCCCGGCCCGGTCACCAGGTTCTTCGTCATCGCCAATCGAGGACTCTCGAATCTCGTCCAGGATCTCATACTCGTGAGTACCAACGAAACTTGCAGACTTTCACCGATCGCCAATCGTGCCTTTCGTTTTCCCAACCTGGCTGATTTGTAAAATCCCAGCTTGCGCAACCCGAATTATATCCTGCGACCCCAAACTCGCGCGCGCGCTATCGCCTCGCTTGATATTACATTATCTCACACGTCACGTAAAGGTACAGTGATACGAGTACTTTCTATAAGTAGCGGGACACTTCGTTTGCGGAAAATAAATTAATAAATAATGTAACGATTATGTGATTGTGGAGACATAATGATCTGGAAATTTCATAAACTGGGCTCATTCTCGGGGAGAACGTATCGTACCGATCGACACGCGTGATGGGGGGGATAATTGGTGATCGATAATCGAGCGCTGTCACAGCCCAGAGCTAGCGTTAACAATATATTATATGATCACGTGCGATTACTTAATAACACATTTTGAAAGACATGTGCGTCAATCCGCTATATACTACAATATAGCGAGAATTTATTCTTTATACCGAACGTCGATTATTTCGAGACTTTAATGACTCAGGCTGCGCGAAAGTAAACCGCGTGACGAAACGTTGAACTCGGAGGAGCGATTGATTAATAGCTGTCAAATTCAATATAATTTCGTCAGACAATCGTGTGAGAATTAAATCTAACGGTATAATTTATTTGAAATCGCAGAAATCCGATTCCGGCGTACGCGTATTGTACGTAACCGACGCAAACGATTGCGTCGTCTCTGACGTGTATTAGTTGTTCATATCTCTATTTCGTTATCTACGGGAAAACCGCGAGCGCTTTCAACATCGTTGGAAGGAGGAAAAGGATTAGAAATTTTTTTTCTCCTATGGAATCGCGGCGCTCACGGTTCACCGCGTGAAATTCGCGAAGCCCCGTGCCGCAAATCCGATAAAAGATTCGCGAATATGAAAAACTTAATATTGTGCACGTGACGTAATTCGGATTGCGATCCCGTGATAAGCAATCCAATCGTCGCAAGCGACTGCACTTGTCGACACGCGATAATTGCTGCTCGCAAACGGATTTGTTTCTTTGACGGATTCGCGCGGTGAAATTCGCGCCGTGGCTTCTTATATAAAATTGCGAAATTAATTAAGGCAACGACAAAGCATCGAACAAGCAAAGCGCGAGACTACAAGTCCTTCGATAAAGAAACGTCAGCTTGCAAGCAACTTGGGCGGATAATCGTTGAAAGATGTCTGGAGTGTTCAACCCTCTGTGACGAATCGCATTAAAAATACATTTGAAATTGATTAAAAGAGATCGCAAATGAAAAATGAGCCACGGTGTTAGACACATTAGATCTGAAACATATCGCGAGAATTGATAAATGCGCGATGGAATCTCATAAACCCATCTTAAAACCCGGGAATTAAAGAGACATTAGTCTGTCATAATATTTGCAAAGCGGACCTATGGCATAACACTTAATTAAGGTCGAGTGTTGCGGCGTGAGGCCGCGTTACCTCGGTGGCGATTGTTGATTAAAGCCCCGCAGAGCGGCGATCGGGAGATAAAGGCTTTACGGTGGTCAGTCACGTGTTCGGCCGCGCCGAAAGTCGAACGAGCGTAGCGCCGGGACGCGCGTCGCGTCGCGTCGCGTCGTTTCAGATATAAACCGGGCCATTACGCAAGTACGCCGTCGGGATCGATGGAAAGTAAAAATGTAAGCGACTTTCTCTATGAAATAGCGCGTCCATTTGCCAGCTGCAACTTATGCAAGAGCCGATCCCGGCACGCAAGATCGCCGGAGGCGACAACTGGCCGCGGCCACTACCATCGAAATCGCGTGCTCCGTCTTACGCTACGCTTTGTGGACGACTGCCCTACATTTAATTTATCACGAAGGATCTCCCGGCGAAAGCTCGGCGCCGAGAGAACGCGAATCTCCTGCAAGTATCTTTCCGCATTTTTTACGCATCGACATGCTCCACTAGACGCCATCGGGTCTTGAAAAGAATGAATAAGCATTAGTTAGCGTAAACGTGGATTTTGAAAGTTGTCTGATTTGTAATATGGAAAGTTTTTACTTCACAGCTGAATTTACATTTCATAAATGCGGAGAGATACGAACGGCTGAATCAATTTCTGCGACGTGACAAACATCATATGGGAGGAAGATGAGAAAGAATTGACATTTATTACTCGCAATATATTTCACGTCGAGCGAACTGCACTTTCACTTTGCGATTTAATCAATTTTAAGCTCGTAAAACGTGAAATCAGTGGGCTGCAGATTGGACATTGTCCAGCTAGATTATCCGTCTTACACTGTCCGAATGGCTCTCAACCTTCGGACAGAGCGTGATAGATGATCTAACCGATACATTGCGACAGAATAGAACTCGCTGTTTTACTATCAATACAATCTTTATCATTAGGTCATCTATCGTTATAATAACTAACTCCTCGATTCTCGATCTAAATTATAATATATTGCAATCGAAGAATCGCAGCGTTTTGAAATACAAAAGCCATTGAAATACAAAAGCCGGAACTGAGCTAGGCTTGGAGCACGCGCAATCACGCAAGGATTTCTTTATTCATTCTGCAGCACAATCGACTATGATTTTTTAAACCAATGATTTTTTACGCTCGTAACACTCGGAATTGCCGCGCGAAGCGTGGAAAATGATTCACCTTAGATCATCTGATCGACGTAACCGCGACGTTTATTCTTGCTCGGCCACTTGTTACTTCCGTAGAATGACTTATGGATTTTGTAATCGGTTAATAGTAGATAATCATGGCAATTATAGAGATAATAATAATTCACGTATACAGTCCAATGATGAATTTAATTATTACTTACTTAATTGCTGTCACTTTTATTTTACTAAGTAAACTAAATTTTTATTTTTTATACTTTTATTGTTTTTTTTATACTTTTTTATACTTTTATACTTTTATACTTTTATTGATAAAGATATAGTTGTCGATAAAATGTTGGTCATCGTTTTTTTTTACTTTAGTTTTATGGAATACAATTATAAATATTAAAGAGAGAAAATATCGCAAAGAGGAAATAAAACTACTGTTACATCACCATTCGCCATGATGTTTGCAAAAGTGAAAAAAAGGTGTAAATAATTCACGAAAGATTTTAATAGCCTGAGCTGACGCATTATTAATATTATTATACGCAATAATAAAAACTTGTTTTCGATTTGAATTAATCCCGAAACATTAGGTTTAAAAAAATCCAATTGTATTTACACATATTGTGAGCTTAACAGAGCACGAAGATGGTATTAAGCAACAAATGCAAATTATCCTCGCTTTTTCCTTTAAAGCTGAAAGGTACATGTACGGGAAAAAGAGTTTGAACGATATTTGAAGATATAAAAAGAAAAGAAATCAAAGTCGATCGGTACCGAGAATAAGATACGATAACAAAGTGAATGCAAAAAGCACCATACATTAATTACCGACGGAAGCGTGCGGTGCGTAAATGTAAATAGTCTTGCGAAATCTATAGATAGCGGAAACACCGGTTTTGCGTGTATCACAGTCGCAATCTGAAATCACTGCCTTAGATTGTATATAACCGTATTATGTCTGCAAAGAAATTGCATAGCGTAATGTAAATTAGAATTTCGCGGCGACCGATCGAGTGTGCAGCGGCAGGAAGCCCGTTCGGGCAAGGAGCGCGGAGAGAAAGGAAAAAGATCCGGGAGAACGCCATTGTGTGCGCCGGCCGTCGCGCTTCTTTCTCCCTTCACGCCGCGTCCCGCGATGGTCATAATTGTTTTATTATGCCGCGATTTGCGGCACGTTAAATTCTCTCGTGCGAGGCGTTTTGCCTCCGCACGAGGAGCGTCCGCGCTGAGGTTCGAAAGCGTTCACGCTTCGTGCGCCGCGCGGAATTCCTCGAGCCGCTAAACTCTGCTGCGCGTCGCGATTAAACGAAGATGCGAGCAGCAGGAAGGAATTTTACGTTGCCCGCTGCGGTACACGCATGCAACATATGACGCTCGTGTTGCATGCGCGTACTTCCCCGCTCTTCCCCATTCAGCTCCCTCCAAAATTGATTCTTGGAGCTCTTCCCCCTATAAATTGAGCTCGTTAAATAATGCAAATTAAGAAAATTAAGGAGATCGCGTGAGGAAAAAATAGATTATTTGGGAAATGAATAAATACGCCCCGTATTTATATGTAAACCCCGCTTTGCTCTAGAATCAATATATAATTCGTAGTGTTCTGATTGGCCAATTGAAATCGATCAATTCGCTTTAATTTGCAGCGTCTGGCGGCCACGAGCGAGCGCTTTGTCAACTTCAAGGCGCGACTGATCACCTCCATCATCTAAGAACTCACACGAGGACTTGGGATGAGGAAGCACAAGAAGGGACCCAGCCGGCGTTGGTACCGCCACGTGGAGGCACCGTCGCCGAGCCCACCTTTGCCAGTAGGAGCACGGGTACGACGTTGGCAACAGAAACCAATCTCACGGTGTTGCCCCCTTGTCCCTGAGATCCTGAACTCAATTCCTTCGTCGATGGCCGTCGAGCTTTTCGCGAAACCACAAGACACTTCGCCGCCAAATGCATTCCCCCCCCCCCAAGCGATCGACTCGATTTCGTTCGATTTCGTTCACTCCATTGTCTCTAATTCCCCTTTGTCCCCCATCCACTTGTCAACTCTCTGCCACCTTCTCTCCCTCTTTCTCTCCCCACTGCACTTCTGCTATTTCTGTCTTTCGGTCAACTAGAGTAACGAATAATAAAGACATTTCCGTAAACGATCGTCGTTTTAGGACGATCGAAACTTGATCGTTACGGCGTGGCTCGTGCCGCCATGGTACGATGGAAGCACATCGAGAGAGACGGTGAAACTGTAAAATCGTTTTGAATTTGTGATATGACACGCTCTCCGTTGACAGTTCGAACGAAATGATTCACGCACCGGCGACCACGGGTCGAAAATTTCTCCGCGCGCTCTCTCGAGTAGCAGAGAGTCATCCCTCGGCTCAAACTATTTCAATTCGCGCTTAAAGTAAGAATAAATAATCTATTTTTTTATTTAAAAGGTGTATGATACGGAAGGCTTATGGTTTCTTAACAGGGGTAAAACGCGTGCTGTTAAAAGGATCGAAGAACAAAGTCAAACATTTTCCCTTCGATTGTTCACGCGCGAACGATGCGTTTCGATTGAACGTCGTCGAGCAAATAAGATTATTTGTACATAGCTAATCCCGGAATACAATAAGTGCCCAGGCATTCATTGTTTCTACCTATTTGTGTTTCTGCCACTGCTTTCTTATCCAATTTCCTCCCATGCCCGCATTTCTCTCTCTTTCCTGAAAATTGCGGTGACGTAAAACTAGTGAAATTTAGGCAATTTAAATACGCAAAACAGTATTGATTGGAGAAAGAGTGGAGCCAAAATCTTTCCCGGTTTGTATCTACTTCCGCTGATACGGGTTTTAGAAGCCTGTCACCGCAGTGAACTATCGGAGAAGACGATTTTTCTCTTCTTGGATTTTCTCGGTGCGGGAAAATCCAATAAGCGATACGGTTTAATAAACGTAATGTCGTCAGCATGTGAGACGCGGCGTTTCTCGTCCTTGTACCGAGCGTATTATTTCTTCTTTTATGTAAAACGTCCCTGTTGTTTTTTGTAGTGCAAATAAATATTATTATAATAAGAAGTGAGTCGTGTGTCTTTTTAATTTTATCTACGTACATCAGATAAAAGTTTTTAATGATGCAAAATTCTATACGAATATTACCATTTGAATATATTTATGAATATTATTTATGAATATATTTATGAATATATTTGCTGGCGACCCTCAAGAATTTTCCTATTAGTTTATGAATATTATTTGAAAACGAATCAATGATTTATTACACTTTTTTATAGTACAAAAATATAATTAGAAAAATATTTATGTAATATTAATAAAATTGACAAGTCTACTAGGCCCTAATAGAATTTGCGGATGAAATCCGCGTAACAAAACGTTATAATGTGATAATATTACACAAAATGCAGTAGATAACAGTTATTTGTTCCTATTATCTTGTTCTTGATATTATCAATAAAGTGCAATATACACGACTTATCGTGTACGTATTGCGTTTACAGTATATTTATCTAATATAATTGATTGATAACGCGTTGCATTAAAATATTAACCATTGTTAATCCGAGAACTATTGTTTCTCCACAGTCATTTGAAGAAAATTTTGCCATTTGTACGAGTGTTTCGAAATTAATTCAATTTGGTTGCTATTTCTAAAATCCGATAATTTGAGATAAACGACATTCAAGAGGAAAATATTTTCCAATTTTTGATAATATGGCAAAATATATTTTGGAAACTTGATACGCACGCTGCTATAATTTCACGTGTGACACAAAAGTTGAACATTCACGTTGCATATAGAATTAAATCCACAGTACAGACACTTCGTTTCGTAAGATAACAGTAATATCACTAACAGTTGTGTAGTTTTATAAATCTACAATTTTTTTTTCACCAACCTCAGATCATCTATTCGTAGCTCAAGACGTTACATGCACACTTGTGCGTATATAGTATCTCAATCAATATTTTCTCGTGGACTCTGGACTCCGCTTTTCATGTCCTCGACCGTCAGTTCTGCGTCGAGTTCGTGTTCTGAAATCTCGCAGGAGTCCCAACGGTATAGCTATGACGGTGAAACCACAGACGGCGCTTCCTCTTCCGGGATGCCTACGTAAACTGGATCGCCCAAGCGAACCTTCCCAGTTGGTCCTCGTAGTCCAAGATGAATCCCCATAACTGGACTGTCGCCAGTTGCGGGTCGGATCTGCGGGTCGGTTATCTGCCTGTAACTGTGCAGACCAGACCTCTTATCATTAGCGGCACGGGATACAAACTAAATTTCTCGACATTTTGTGCAAGATATTTTATATATGCTACACATCTTTGCCGTGTACTTATGTCGCCCAGGATTAACTGAATTTTGTATATTATTTTACAATTATATATTTTTAATACACACGAACCTTTTCAAAGTCTTCAAAGGCTCCGCATTGATATGCTTCGTGCCGGTTTCTGGATCTATCGTAGTGAAGATGCATCTTGTGCAGGGCCTAACGTTTCTCATAATCACGTTCCCGATCTTTACCCAATCCCATTTATCTTCTTCATAAGCAGTGGCACCCTTGACCACGAAATTCATGCGAAATTGCTGCGACGTGACTGGCTCGTCCAGTCGGCTATTAAGGTCTGCTATTGAAGCTTCGTTGATCAGACTGTAGCTTGTCTCGTCTGGATAGGCTCCCTATTAAGACATTTATCTTACAGTTTTCATTCGAGGCATTCGAGGCATTCGAGATAATGAAACAATTCTTTATGATTAAATTAAGATTAATAAATTCACAATCACATTTTTATATGTTATGACTCTCCTCCTTATGTTATATGAACAATATAATGATTTTCTTGCCTCGCACCAATCAACTTAATAGACTTATTATATCGAGGTCTCGCAATAGCAACGTCAGTGACAGATGCGCGAGGCAAGAAAATCAAGTTATTCAACTTCGTAGCGGAATTGCATAGCGCGAAGTTAAAGAGCGATTACTCCGTTAGAAACGTCTGTGATGATTACGATCGCCAGAAAATTATTCAGACATTCAAAAGTAAACAATAAAACGCGTACAAATAAAGTTACTAATTATGTTAAATATGAACCTCGTATTGTTACAAATATTTACCAAGTCTATTGACTCTTCCAGAGGGAAGATTTTGTAATTCCTCTGTCGCACTGATCTCACCGGTCGATCTAGTGGGTAATAGACCAGTCTAAAACCGGTATCCTCCTGAAGAAGGAAGCGTGACAGCCATCGGGCAGCTTCCTCACCACAATCGCGTGCCGGTACCGCTTGACCCCACACAGCGACTCGGAAACCTTTGCCGCGGAGTTGCGCGAGGTCCACTGACATCGACATCATGCCTGGAGCGCGAAGCGTAAGCACAGAACCGGAAATACTAGGTGATACCTTCAACATTGTAGGAAGACTATGGATGAGAGCTTCCACAGTTTTAAATTACTAACTATACCAGCCTGATTTTTAATTCAGCAAGTAAAATATGTAACAATGAAAGGAAGACACGGATGAGTGACCGTGTTTACCGCGCGTATCGATCAGCTGCTTCGATCTACGTTCGGTGAAACATACATCTAAATTCTCGATAGCTCTTTCATTAATTTACTTCTCGTCTACCGTAAAGCCGCATTTGCAATGCGATATAATAATTTAATGTACAACGAGAGCGTTGGATTGTTATAGCAGGTCCCCAACACCCAAATTCAACCACAAATTTCTTTTCGCAACGATTACACAATGTAACAATGAATTGTCCACTAAACAGATTTCACGGGCAATAAATTCATGGTGGAATCAACAGATAATGCCTGTTAATTTAATAGAAACCCTGCTATTCCATGTTAGGATCCTATAACAGGGGACTTTCCTCTAAATATTAAAATGAGATTAAAAGAAATTACTGTCTGCCCTCTCTTTCTTATAGCAATAAGGAAAATGAATAACGCAGCTTCTTACATTGACCATTTTAGGTAGCTGCCTGGCGGTGAGAAATCGCCCCTCGAGATCGATGACGAGCAACGTCCGATCTCTCAACCAGCCGGACTTCAGGCCCAACGTCGTGCATTCCATCTCTGTCATGCGAACCGCGCCGAGCGATTTGACCGGGTACACTGTTAAACCGCTTAGTTCTCCAACTTTTCGCCACTTGGACGGTGGTTGAGGCTTCTGTCTTCTGTTCCACCACCACCAGATGAAAAAGACCGCTGTGCCGACGCCCACGACGGCGGTTGTGACGTATGTAAGTCGCGTTCGGTCTGAGAGAACGTACAAAAAGTAAAATACAAATTATTGCGTTATAATTCCATTATATAAGGGATTTACGAAGAAACAGTCCGCGCGATTTTATAACGTCAGCGGTCCTGTTATATCCTGTTACATCAACCTGAAATTGGTCGGATCGAGTTTCGTAATAAACAGGCGGCTCTGTAATACCGTTCGGCAGATAACTCAATTTATTTTTCAAGTCGCATGCCCGACGTACGTGATCGATCACTTAAGAAAAGTCGAACTCCTTTCTTTCCCGTAAAGAAAAATTGGGTCCGCGCGATGCCTAACCGGTTTTATGAGTTCCGGAAACGTTTCATAAAATGGGCATTAAACGAGGTCACCTGGTCATTTACCGTAATGCTATGTATAATGACTCTAAGTTACGATGCAGTTAGTTGTTCAAAGAAGCTGGCGGAGACGACGAAAGTGATTTTAATTGCAAAGCGTATGGTTTCGATGCGCGCACGAGCGGTAGCGTAGGACGAAAAACCTCTGTATTGAAAAGAAAAATGTGGCGCGTCGTCATTTAAAAATACCGGATGCATGAGATGCGATATACATTTTATTGTTTCGCGCTCTTTTTGTGTAGTATGTGTTCCCGGTAATGTAATGATATGCATACGTGCGAGACCGGTTAACGCGTACGCGATACAATTAAGTGCAACGAGGCGCAACGAGCCGCATATAATGCAGAGTTCGTAGAATATTCTTTCTGCCAGGTTTTTTTTTTCAATATCTTCATCTTACAGCATAAGCTCCTTTGTTGTAATAAAATCCATTTTCCAGCTGTACGTAAGTGACCGCTCGGGGAGAGCCCGTTAATTTGAGCGCTGAAATGACTTGCTAATTAACACTCCGCATGCAAATCACGTAGGTCTGCCGTTTCGTCGGTCATACTACGCTCCAAGTGATGTCAGCATACGTTACAAATGGACAATTTGCGCGATGCGAACTGGCAATATAAATTTTCCAATTTAAAAATCAAGAATGACCACTTTGCATAATACGAGAAGTCAAATTGTCTAACGAGTGGAACTATGTAGGACATCTCAGGCCTGCATTGTTTTATCGTATCGATAACGAAAGACTTGCAAAATTGTTACTTCTTCCAACATTCGTTTTAAAATGATAAACAGCTTGTCGCTAGATTAATGTAGACAGACGATCAAGACACGCTGAGTAACGATAACCGACTTTAAAAATAACTCAGGTTTATCTTGCGAGGGTTAGACGAGAGAGGAACGATAGCTTTAAGTTTTATTAAACTACCGTTTATTAGCTACCGGTCAATCGCCTAGAAATCGAGCGAAACACCTAATAACGGAAACGGACAATAAGAGGCGGATGACAGCGGATACTATCGTCCGAGTGACGCTGTTTTCAACATGAATGGAATACACGGTGGCCTTTTCGAACGAATGAAAAGAAGCGAAGTGTGAATAAATAAAAGTATAAAAACAGCTTATCTGCGCTTAAGATAACTTTGTTTTGCAACGTATGTACTTTTCAAGTGGCTTCACAGGAGAAATGCTTTATCGCACATGTGCTCGTGTTATATATTCAGAAAATTATTTCTTTATTCCCGACTACCTGCGACTTTTGCTAATCGCAGGTTGGCAAAAGACCGAGGTGGCATGGCTTCATTGTAGTGGAATATTGCTATTTCGTTGATGATTGCTGCTCGAGCTCTCGATAGCGGTAAT